TATCACTAGAAATAAAAATCACTTCAAATGCCTCATCCTTTGCCTTGATCTTGTGGTATGCTTCAATAAGTTTTGGCAGGAAGGCACGGCATGGAGGGCACCAATGTGCTGAGAAATACAAGAGAATGTTCTTCCCAACTAAATCAGACACCAGAATCTGAAATAGGTGATACACACATTAGTTATATAAGAAGAGAAGAGAAGTGGTGCTAAATGTCATTTAAAACATTTATTATGTCTTCTAAACAATCTCGAATCCATCCATTTACGGCATGCAATTTCTTTGCGGAGAAAGAAAGATATGGCTAAAAGGCTACCAAAAATTTTTGGCAGATCTAATGATTCCTAAAAATCATACCTTGGCACCATCCTTCCCAATGACAAAATCCAGATCCCCTGAGACCAGAATTGATTCCAAGGTTTGTTCTGCCTCCTTTGCTTTCTCGATTTCTGCAAGCTCAGCAAATTTTTCAGGGGTGAATGGATATACCTGATGTCCATGCTCTTCAATTGCTTCAGCAACGTTAGGGTGGAGAGTTTTCCCATCAGGCCCAATGATAACAAGCGTTGGAAGGGTTGAGAGCTCAAAGTACCGCAGCAGTTTCCCACCTCTCTTGTCCTTAAAAGGCAAGGACAACCAAGGCATGTCTCCAAAGCTTTGCTTGAATGATTCTTCTTCATCATCAAGTGATATCAACACAATCTCAAAACTTTCCCCTTGTTCTTTCAGTTTATTGTAGGCCTCAACAAGTTTTGGAGTAAAAGTAACTGATGGCGGGTAGGAAGACACTGCAAAATATAGACCTACAGTCTTCCCTTCAAGTTCAGATACCGGTACCTAGCATTTACAATTAAGAAGAGAGCTTCGTATTTAGATTACCAAAAGAATCGTGCATGTAAAATTTAAAAAGGAGAAACAAAATGCAAAAGCGGTTTAAATAATTGGCTATATAATCAAAGTTTACCTGGTTTCCATCAGATGAGATAACAAAGTCACAATTAGGGGAAACCAAGATAGATCTTAAGGACTGTTCCCTTCTGGCTTTTTCTTCTTGTTCTTTTAATTCTTTGATCTTTTCAGCAGAAAAAGGGTACCCATCCACGCCATACTCCTGTATGATCTCAACTCCATCTTCAGTAGAAACTTTACCCTCTTCATCCAGGATTACAAGATGAGGTATTCCTGCCACCTCGAATAACTTCTTTAAGCGATCATGTGTCTCTGAATCAGAAAATGGAATTGCAAGCCATGGCATCTTTGAGAAGTAACCATTGAATGAGTCAGCATCTCTGTCACTTGGGATAAAAATAACCTCAAAATCACCTTTTGAAGAGAGTTCCTCATACACCTCCACTAGCTTTGGGGTAAATCTTCGGCATGGTGGACACCATGACGCAGAAAAATA